CGCAAGCCAAAAATGTGCGGACCGGAGTTGAAGCGGGGCCACGGCTGTAGCACCGTGCTAACAGAGGTCCCACAACGAATCTCTGTGTTGCGTTCTTTTGAAGAACACCTCTTCGTCCCTGCACGTCTACTCATCTTATCGATAATGGTTCTACTTTCTACTCTAGAGTTCATAGCGTGAATTTCCATAGGTACTACAGGCGGTAATTGGTCAGATAATAAAAAGAAGCGAATGATGGGAAAGGAACAGTTCCGTGAGTCCGATTTGGCGCAAAAAGTGTATGTCCACTCTTTAGACTATTTATCTTGAATTTTCTAATTTTTCTGAAAATGTTTTTGATTGTAGCCTTGGCGTAAAATTTGTGCCTGCCGACAGTGATTTTATGCGACAAGCCGCACACATTCGTGTCATCAACAATCGACTATATGAAGATCTCCCTGGGAAATGGATTCCTGCTCATTGTGGACCGCTTGATCTGCGCTTGGTTGGTCGCTCCTATTTGCTCGAAACGTTTTAAAGCATTTGTTTCTTGTCGCAATTAAGATGAGCAAAAATTTGGGGTTCTAGGCATCTATCTCTATCTGAAGCTCCTCTATCTAAGCTCATATCGAACCTTCAATTCAAGCGGAAGGACGCCTTGACCTTTCTTAGTCCCGTAAAGGTTCCACAGAACTATGATAAAATGTATATATAGGATATATTTTGTGCATCAAGGGGTAATCGGGTAAATGCTAGTTCCCGTTTACTTCTGCTGATAGTTCTGTCCCTTACAGACGTAAAAATGCCAGAAGCGCCACGTTTACGACAGTAGGTGATGCAGTGATGCCGAATTGTAACCGATTAGAGCGGTACTATATTGTTTTGAACCCCATAATAGGCTTCGTGATACTTTTTACTCCGAGAAAGCGGAATGAGTCTTTGAGTGCATCCTTAAGCCTAATCTACGTGAACGCGAACTAATATGCAGAGTAACAAAAATTTGCGAATGTTTGGAATGAGAATGTCACGAATTTCTTTCACAAGTGACTCCTCTTTGTGTGTAACGTAATTCAGCGAGAATTGGTCCCCAACATTGCTTTGTGGGGCCGCCGCACGGCTGAATGAGGCAGGCAATGTCTTCTTCGAAAACTCGTTCGACGATCCCTTTGTTTTCGTAATCATTAAGGATCCTAGACACCAGTATGCCTGGTCACGGTGCATTTTCAAATAATTCTGCAGAGATGTCATTCGTTTGATACCAACCGAATAGTTGTCTTCTAATCGTGCAACACTGCATTTTAGGGGAAATGGTGCTGTGGCATAGCCAACATCAAACGATATTGAGTTCGAGTAGTCTTCGAATTGCTGAACTTTAACATCCGATGCACGGTCATCATAAGGAATTCCGACACCCGCAAGTTAAAAGAGCTTCTCAAACATGTGGCTTTCCAAACCTTCATGAATAGCTGTCAAACCGTAGGAAATAGGCTGACACTTTGCAGGGCTATCTAACCCGCCGCGACCATGAATTGCTGGCCTGAAAAAGGTTTTGCAATACGCAGCCCTGAAGGTTTCTCTGTGAGGTCTCATCTTCTTTTACTAAGTCGTAATATCTATAAAATCCGACTAAAACTCTAGGTGCTTGCTATTCTCCTTGGAACTTTGAATTTGCGATGCAAATTAGGTGTTGCTCGAGAAAATTGGAGTCTTGCTGAGTCAACTTGACTGATGGAAACCCTCCAGTTATGACTAAATTTGTCTGTACAGTAAAACGGTTTCTTTTTCTTGTGCAAGTTGAAGATTGGCTTTCAGAGGTGCGGTTGTGCTGTTGAACTGCTCGAAGTGTTCTGTAACGCATGACATGCAGGTCTCTATGGAGAGCTTGGGAAGCTCAAAATCATATGCTGAGTTTTTCTCGACTATGGTTTTAAGAGCTACAGTATCGAAGAAAAGAGCACTTTCTCGAACCGTTCGCTTTTGTTGTTCCAGAGATTACCCTCTGCTGTCGTAAGGATTAGTTCCTCATTTTTACTGGTGTCGTTGAGCGACCGTAATCCCGTTCGGTTTAAATGAGCTGTGTTTTGTTCTGTTTGTTGTCCTTGCTTCCATTGCAATAACTATTGCTAGGCTTCCTATCAGGTTGCTGTAGGCTGCTGTCGCAGTTTTTTGATTGATTTCATTTTCTGCCGGCCTGGAATTTCCCGGTAGCGCTTACACTTGATGCCTACTTGTTTGCTTGCCAGACACAAGCCTTGAAGATATTTCTGGCAACAACTGGGACACTTAGGCTTGCTACATTGATTGCTTGAGTGGTTACTGTTGAAACATTTCCAACCAAAACGTTTTTCCTTGGCGATATCGCGACTTCCTTGAATGCCGATTACGGCTCTGCACAGTGTAGAATGGTTATTGTTATTGCGTCCGCAGAAGACGTAGGTTTGGGGGAACCTTACACTTTGTTCTCTTGTTGTATTCGCTGTTGAAACCCCAGTGTATCTAGACAAAGAGTTTGGACGATATTTTTCTTTCTAGCAGCGTTAGAGATTACCAGTTGTAATATTTTTGTTGGTCTGGTTTTTTGTCAGCACGTCCTTTGTTACTGTTTAAGGGAACTTTTTTAATATGATTATCACATTCCATACTGGAAAGCTAGTGGCTCTGATATCATAGTCAGTAGAGAACATCTGATTCGCTAGTGCTTTGATCGAGTCCAATCAAACATCTCAGCTTTCGCATTTTGTGCAGCAGCTTCCAAATCGAATAGTTTCTGCAATATTTTTGTACTTGTCGACCGGTCGGTTGCCGAAGTTATCTTTGAGGGTCTGTACAGTCCATTTATAATTCTTTGCTATCGCCTGTATCCCCTAATGGCTTTTTCGTGTTTCACTTTTAGGCAGTTCTTGAGTAGAACAACTTTCTCGATTATACTCAGGTCACTGCTTGAGTGAATAAAGTTATTATGAACGGACCAGTATTGGAGGTCTTCTTCGCTATTATGAAATTCCGATTTGCTGATATTGGGCGGTTTGATTGGCCGCATCTTTAAGATGCTCCTAGAACTGGGAACCTCCGGGTTTTCCTGAAACCAACTTGTCTGGTTACTTCTGTGTGTTGATGATCCTGCAACGTCATTGTGAGCTTGAAGTAATTTGAGATTCCTCTGAACATTTGCTGAACTTGCTTTACCCTCTGTAACTGAGCTTCCGGTTTGCGTATGAAAGGCTCGGCACTCACCAAATGCTGCGGATACGGAGAGTCTATCATTTTCCTCTATTTTTGTAGTGAGCTCTTTCTGATCAGTTTTTCGACAGCGGTTCTTATACAACTGACGTGGGAAGGATACTTTCATCCGAAAGTTGATGCTTACAAGGAAAGGATACTTTAGCAGTGGCCATATGTGATGAAATGTGTACCATCGTAGGTGGTTCCGAACCTAATCTCAAAACTGTATTCCAAATCTGCTAAACTGTTGCGGGAACAAAGTTACGAGACCATTCTTCCCTGTGTTATACCACTGTACTATACAGATTCGAGCGAAGACTTAGATGTGCAGTGGTTTCGCAGCTGGTACGTAGGTAAACTGGTAGAAATGTCTTCAAGATTCGATTCCTACATGCATGCGCTCGTTTTGCTTTCCAATGAAATGCCTCTAAACGCTTGCAAAACATTTTTGTGATCGACACTGACCATCTATGGAGCTCGCTCACATTTTAGGATCCCGGGAATAACAACTTAGTGATGTTTTAAGCCATTTCTGACCAGATAGATGCTTCTCTTCCCCAAACAGTCAGTGTTTCGTATTTTTCGTCAGTTCCCTCCACTCACAGAAGATGGCGGTCGAATGACTCATCTGTCAAGAGCCCTTTTCGGAAGGGATACGGTCCCTACAATCGAGGAATACTATCCGCATTTTTAGAGCACTGGAACAAGTTGTCTGGCATTTAAAAAATATTGTGAAACAATAGTTGATTGATTTATGTGCACGCATGATAGCCATTGATTGTCAAAAAACTTAATCGAGGTACACGTGGGTAATATGATGGGACATGATACCGCGGCTAGACCTAAAGCCTTGAACCCACCTTCAACTTGCATAGAAGTTGGCTTCCCTGCGAAGTTCATTGTTAATTTTAAGCGTCATTTAATGGAAATGACTGTCGTACATTGAGTTCCTGTACTGATTTTATGCTAACTTATTTTCCAACTTATCCGCTACTCTCCACAGGCAGACCAATCGGTCTACTTGTTTTGCACCTGATAGCTACAACCAGATAAGACATCATAGTTTGTCGAAAATAAACTAAGTCGAATGCTCATAGTCTCTCTCACTTACCCATAATTCCCGTAGATGGTATGCGGTCCTAATGAAACAAAACATTTTTCATGCACGAGGAGATCCGGCTTTCTTTTCTATTGGCACTCAAACTAAGAATGCTATGGATATTTCTACCAGCGCCGTAAAATAGAAGCTCTTGGGCAGGAATCCAGAGTTGAAGAGCCCGTTTCACTTTGGGCAGGATCACTGTGATGGCCCTTCAAGCAGTAGTCTTCCTCGCAGTGGATAACGAGTCGTTTACATCTCATCGAAAGCATGGTTGGAAAGCTCTTCATCACCTTCCGTCCCTTCCTAGATGGTGCTCACGTAATGCTGCAAGAAAGAGGGTCCTCCACCAAATACGATGGCCCCCACTTCAAGCAGAATATTAGTTTGTAACATGTTGGAAAGTATTATCCTAAGGATCATTTAGCACCTTTCTCTCTAAAGCCTTTGAAGCCTATTTTGAACAGATGCTCAGAACTCCTTTTCTGCTCGAATGGAGCTCCACCCTTATTTGGCCGGTGATGGGCGAGAAAAACTTCTCTTGCATGCACCAAAGAGTCGAACCTTGATGTTATACCTACCAGCTACGGGTTTGCTTGGTTCGGTGATCTGTCCAGTACAGTGGTATAAAATAGAGAGGAATTAGCTCGTGACTTTGTTCCCAGATTCGTTAAGCAGATTTGGAACACAGATCTGAGGTAAGGGTTCGAAACCACCTGCGGTACCCGTCTCATCTTGAAAAGCCACTGCGGCCGTGATCCTTCCCTTGTAGGTGTTGATGATAAAAGGTTAGCATTCGCTAAAACTTTTTCGTGGAATTCCTCCTCATTCTCCGAATTTTCTAGGTTCGCTGTGTAGCATTGATGCTTTTGCATGAAAGTAGCTAGTGTTGTGGCGCCAGTAATAATTGTTTTTTTGTCGTTTTTGTGTACTTTTCGAAGCTCTTTGCTCTTCACTTTTATTGGTGAGCTTTCGGCATATAATGCCTTCGTCAG